AGCCTCAGGTGCACTTTATAATGTCTCTCATCAAAATAGAAAGGAGTTGGAGGTAGATTGCTTTGTGACTCCCTCCTGCCCCTCCCACAGAGAAATAAGTTATAGGGATGCCTTTACTGTTCAATAAAATCCAAAATAGCAGCTTCTTTACACTTTGATTCAAACCATCCTGAATCTTTCATGGTTTAAAAGGCACAACGAGGAATTGCTGAAAACTTTGTTTGGCATACACAAGATTACCAGATGGATTCTGTGAACCTATTCCTTCTAAAGGACATTGTAAGAGCACCAAGGAGTGTTCCACTTACAAGTGGCCCCTAGTCACTCTGAAAATGCCCAGAAGGGCACAGTTCAAATGAAGGAACCCTTATCACTTTGGTAGGGGCAGCAATGTTTACTGAATTAACAACATCACCCTCCTCAAATGGAAAACAAACAAAAAACCAACAAATTATACTTTCAAAGAAAATTCTTAGGGCAAAATCTCAGCTTTTACTGACAGAGGATCATAACATTGAAAAGCTCCACTGCTTTTTTTTGGCCTCTGGAAGACAATTCCCTTGACTGCCACACTCTAGGAAGTTTCAGCAATATCTGGTTCCATTCTAGAGCACGGAAGACTCGTCCTTGTTTCTCACTGATCTTTGCGATAACATGAGGATCTGTGGTTGATGTGATTAACTTTGTTGAGAAGGTGGTGGGAATTTATTTTTTCTAGTACATTTTCAAGGTACTGAATTAAGACTCGTCTTTTAAACCTGAAAATTAAGAGACATGTCATTAACAGATAGATACTTAAAGCACCCATGATGTACAAGGCACTGAGGGGGACACAGAAAGGTACTGTGAGGGGCACAATCTACGTGGGAATATAAGACACATCTTCACACAAAGATAAACCCGTTGCCACAGAGCTGATTGCAACTCATGGCAACCCCATGTGTGTCAGAGTAGAACTGTGTTCCATAGGGTTTTCAATGGCTGATTGTTTAGAACTAGATTGCCAGGCCTTCTGAGGCATCTCTGGGTGGACTCAAACCTCCAACCTTTTGGTTAGCAGCTGATCACGTAAATTGTTTGCACCACCCAGGGAGTCCCGTGGAAAGATATGGTTTAGCAAATACGAAGAGTGTTAATTAAGGGCCCAAGCCCCCCAGACTATGGTGAACCTAGAAGGAACTATGGGCTTGGAGGAATGAGTTAGATTCAGATCAAGTCAATCAAAATGCCAGTGGAGACAGCATGAAATATGAATGAGGGCTAGGGTTTGAAAACGCAAGGCAGAACCTGTTTCTCCCCACATCCTGTAAAATGTTCTGCTGCTTAAAAAGAAAGAGAGAGTTCCTGTTGACACCCACCTTGCTGCTTCCTTGATGGTAAATTCAACAAATTGTTTCTTGACTTCCAGAGGTCCTTGCACTTCTTCAAGCAAAATGAAAATTCTCTCATACTCTGAAGATATTAAAAAGAAAACCTTCATTATTTCTAAAAATATGAAGAGTAAACAGAACTCAGTCTTTGGGAATCCTCAGTACTCATTCTTCATGAGTGGAAGCTACACAAAAGTTTGAAGTTTAAACACTTAAATCAAAATATCATCACATATCTACTAAGGAAACGCTTGTGAACACTAACCAAGTGTATTAGGCTGAATAAGGGCTCTCCAACGCTGTCCATAATCCCTGAAACATACGAGTATGTTACCTTATAGAGCAAAAGGGACTTGGTAGATGTAATTAAGTTCAGGATTTTGAGATGGGGAGATTATCCAGAATTATCCATGTGGGCCCACTGTAATCACAAGCATCCTTATAAGAGGGAGACAGTAAAGTTAGGGTCAGAGAGAGAAGATGTAGGGATGGCAGCAGAAGTCAGCGAGGAGAGAAGGTGCTACATTGCTGGCTTGAAGATGGAGGAAGGTGCCATGGCCCAAGGAGTCTCTAGAAGCTGAAAAGGCAAGGAAATGGATTCTCTCATAGAGCTTTCAGAAGGAACACTGGTCTGTCAAAACTTTGATTTTAGTCCCAAACCAAACCGAACTCGTTGCTGTTGAGTAGATTCCGACTCAAGCGACCCTATAAAACAGAGTAGAACTTCCCCCTAAGGGTTTCCAAGGAGCGGCTGGTGGATTCGAACCGCTGACCTTTCGGTTACAACCGAGCTCTTAACCATTGCACCACCAGTCCAGTGACAATGAACTCAGAATCCTGACTTCCAGAACTGTAAGATAATACATTTGTGTTGTTTTAAAGACACGAAGCTTGTGGTAAATTTGTTAGAGCAGCAATATAAACTAATACATCAAGTAGGAAAAAAAGAAAAGGGTGCATTGTGTTCTTTTGTTAAATTTAAGAGGAACCACTTTAATTTATATGTAAATTGAATTCTGCCCAAAAATTTATCTTAAGAGGTAGCTTGAACCTAGCCTAAGTCGTAAACATTGTTTTTATTAATAGACATTCTTTCACTACTTACTTCGTCCAAACTTTCGAACTTCCTTCATTAATTGATGTTTTATATCGGCATTGATTCCCTGTGCCATAGCAGGAGTTATTTGCAATGTATTTGCCACAGTTCCCAAAGTAGACATTGTTGTGACTTTGGGGCCGTCTATTGAGAGACTGCAGTTTACAGTTCCTCCTCCAAGTGCATTACTACCAGGTTTGTGAATCAGTCCATCTTTCCTGAAACAAGCGAAGTCATCAGACGGAGAATCCAATCTGTTGGCTGGAATATCATCTCCTGCCATATTCACGAGCTTTGGAGGGACAGATTTTGACAAGAAGCCATCAGGTGCTGTTTGACCATTTTCCATCCCCTCCTCATGGCAATCATGAATGACAGTAGCATCTGGAAGCCAAATTAAGAGGTTGAGCTGCGAGGGAGGTGCATTTCATCACCCCATAGGTACATCTCTGTGCTCCTCAGTTTTGAGAAAATTATTTATTTCAAGAAGCGAGAGGATGTGACAGATGGAAATCTCAGACCCTTCAAATTGAGCTCAGGAAAAAATAATACAAGAAAACCACCTTCTTCCTTTCTTGACACTATGAATACATACGAAAATCAAGTAAGACGGTACGACTAATATGCAAACATTCACAGATCCCTGGTACTCACAATTGAGCACCATGTTGTAGCCCTTGACAAGTCTCACGTGATGCCATGACTTCTGAAATTTGCATATAAACTGCCATGTTTTACTGAGCTGAAAGCCAGACAACGTGGGTCCCCACAAGCCCTCACCTCTACCTCACACTTTCTGAGAAAACAGAAGTGGCCATTAGGTTCAAATGCTCTGTCTCTCCTCCATCACCAAACAGCCCTGTCTATACATCATGCTCCTCATCCTTCACTTCTGTCTCAAAGAAGTGGGTTTCTATTTAGTCAATGTCTGACACTTCTACCTCATTTATTCAACCTCCTCTGTGCCAGGCACCGTGCCAGAGATCAGCAGTGAACAAGAGAGACAGACAGAAACAATGCCCATCCTCATGGCTCTGACATTCCTGTGGGGAATCAGACAGTAAGGTGCACGAGCAAACAGAAAGATGACAGCGTGAATTTGTGTCAGGAGAGCGGTGAGCATGGACGTGATGGAGTGTAGGGGAGGGGCCTCAGTGGACAGGGTGGATAGGCAGGGCCTTTCTGAGGAGGCGTCCTTTGAGCAGAGCCCTGGAGGAGGAGAGAGAGCTGGCCATGTGCAGACCCAGGGTAAGTACTCCAGGCTGTGGGAAGGGCACATGCAGAGGCCGTGAGGAGGGAGCCAGCCTGGTACAAGTGAAGAAAGGACAGACAGCAGACAGAGTGAGGAGGAGACCGGTAGGAGAGCATCACATGTCAGACAGAATCAGCCTGACCGTGGGGCAGAAAACGAGTTAGCCAGGATCAAGCACGGGAAACAGGCAGATCAACTAAGGTGCTCTTGTGGCAACTTGGTGAGAGATCAATGTAAGATGAAATAGAGGGATAGAGAGAAATGGTGTGGTGCAGGGTTTATACGGAACCTCAAGTGGCCTGGACTTGCTAACGGATAGGAAGGGAGAGAAGAATAAAAGAAAAATCACAGTTGACTCTCAGGGTTTGGCCTGAACCACTGGGTAAATGGTAGTGGCTATATAGTGCGGCAGGCGGCGGGCAACTACTTGTGAGAGCAAATTGTGAGCAACTCTTCCTGACTCTGCATTCAGTGCCCTCACATTGGTACTTGATATTGATCATTTTGGGAGTTTTTACACTATAGGTATCTTCAAACACTACAAACCAGGGCTTCTTTGCCTTTCCACCCCCAAAATGGTGAACAGTCAGTTGTTACAGTTTTACCAACACACTGATGGGTGGTGTCATTTAACCGAGTTGGCAAAGTTGGTAAGTAGTGCTGGTTTGGAGAGGCTAGTTTGGGAGTTCAGCTTGAACACATGGAGCCAGGTGAGCATTAAGATATCGATTACACACCTTAGTGAAGATTGCATGTATGGATTTGTATTTGACTCTGGAGTTCAGGACCATGGCTGGGGGGTGTTGAAATGTAAATCTTATTTAAGGCCCAAAGATTGCATGGAATCACTTAGAGAAAGGGTGTATTGAAGTGGAGAGGGCCAATGATTGAGCTTTGGCGCCCTGCAATACGCAGAGGTGGGAAAGAAAAGGAAAACCCAGGCAAGAAAATGAAAGGGAGTCATCATTAAGAGGAAAGAAATCTAGGAGAGTTTGGTGTATGGGAATTCAAGAAGGCTTGCATGAGGAGGATATGAACAACCATGGCAAGTGCTGCTCGGCAATTCATGGCAATGTCAGCAGACACTGGTGGCCTTGACAAGGACAGTTTCAGCAGAGTTGAGGATGCAGATGCCAGACTGCACTGGGTTAGAGCATGGACAGGTGGTGAGGCCAGGCAGAGAGCGCGGGCAGACCCATCCTCTGGCTGAGCCCACCCTCCTACTGCCTCAGGAACCTGTTTTGTCCTTGTAACTCTTGCAGCAACCCCAAATGGTTGCCCCTCATTTGCCTTGCCCTAGCAAAGCCAACTGACTCATATCTGTCCATTTCTCCATTCTGAGTTAATTACTATTTTAGTATGGATCTTATTTCCCCTCATATAGATGGAGCCCCTTGAGACACGGTCTCTGCTTTCTGTTGGGCCTATTTTACCTACCACGCGGATGATTTAATAATGGTTCACTTGATGAACAAAATCAGAACACAGAAGAAATTAATACAAAGGAAAATAGAATTGTTTAGGGTCTTAGTCCTCTAGGGGCCATAAGGAACTCACACCACTACTCTATACCTGTGTGTACTAGTGTGGGTTTTATGAGGTTTGGATAAGATGGGAACCACGAGGCTGAGAGTGATCCCTTTCTGCCCACATGGTTAGTTACAGTAGGTGGTGTTTGTGGTTTCCTCAACAGCAGGGACATACTCCGCCTTCTCTTAGATGACAGAGGACTGTTGGGTTCTCCAGGACGTTTCACTTTGTTTTGAGGCCCTGCTACAAATTCATCTGCTTCATCAATCATCATTCCCTACAAAACATCAAGGAACATATTCCATTAATGATGAATATCCAAATCTCTCAAAATTGCAGTCTTCAGAGGTATATACGACCATGTATTACATCATTCTTTTAAATTCACATATTTGACTTTTATTAAAGGAAATTTGCTGTCAAGAGGGATTACTACATTCTATATTTAGACTCACTAATGAAAACAGTTTTGCTACCATTCAATGAACATCAAATATGCCCAAGGACTATACTAGGTACTTCAGGTAGTTATCACATTTATTCCTCACAGCAACCTTATACAGTATTTAAATGCATGTTTTTAGATAGAGATACATCTCAGGAAGTTTAAGAGATCTTCTTAAAAGCATATGATTAACAAGTGTTGGAGCTAAAATTTGAAACTGAGTACTTCTGTTGTTTTTCTTTCTCCCCCTCATTTGAACAGTTCCTGTCCCTTCCTGCTTTCTCATCCTTCTTTTGGACAGGAGCTGCCCACTTGGTCTCTTATATCTGACTGAGCTAAGAAGCACATTCCTCACATGTATTATAAAAATATGGAACACTTCACAAATTAGCATGTCATCCTTGCACGGGGCCATGCTAATCTTCTCTGTATCATTCCAATTTTAGTATTTGTGCTGCCGAAGCGAGCATGCATTATATAATTAGTATAAGTTTTAATCACGGGCCAAAGATTTATCATCCCCAAAACCTGCTCTGTTCTCAAGAAATGTAACTCAATTTTAATCCAGTCTGAAGAAAGGTAAAATACAAGGTGTTGTCCAAAGCCAAATATGGTACAACCATGGTTAATAAGAAAGCTGGGGGAATGAGCAGATATCGTCAACCAAAATGGGATAAACCCACCTTTACTTCATTGAAGAAATACAAATCCTTGTTAGGGGAAATAATTCCCTTTTTTGTGCTTTAAACTTGTCATTAGCAAATGTTGATTATCACTGTACACAATGCTTGATGTAGACAGTGAAAGGCAGGTAGAAGGAAAACGTAATTTGCCCAGCCCCCAACCCCACAGATATTCAAATACGTGCACCTTGGTGCCAAGCTGAGTGGGAGGTGCTTTTCACTGCTGGGGATAGGCAAAAGATGAGAGCCAGTGGTATAGAAGGTTAGCTTAAAACTGTTCTCATCCAAGGATAACACAAGAATATACCTTTTGTTATTTGAATAAAATCATGATAAAGAAATTATTTGTACCATTTGCATTTCCCATAAAAGAAAAGTGCAGAAAAGGGGAAAACATTTTCACTGAGCATTTCCTACCTGCCACATACTGTTCTAAACGCTCTACATGTATTAACTCGCTTTATCCTTTGCAAAATGTTATGAATCAGGTGCAATTATTACCCCCAATGTTATGAACAAGGAAATTAAGGCATAGAACGATTAAGAAAAACACCAATTAATTGAAGATTAGGGTAAGGTGGAATACCTTGAAGTCTACTTTTGTTACAGAAGAGATTCTTGCATGTTCTGGGCCTTAATACCAATAACCTCTATGAGTACAAACACAATTCCATTTGTCTTATGGCTTTGATGGTCAAGTCAGTAGGTCTCTCTCTTTCTCTCTCTCTCACACACACACATACATCCTACGTTAAGATTTCCAGTGAAACCAAAACCAAGCCCACTGCCATTGAGTCGATTCTGACTCATAGCTACCCTATAGGACAGAGTAGAACTGCCCTACAGAGCTTCCGAGGCTGTAATCTTTACTTATGGAAGCAGACCGCCATATCTTTTTCCAGCGGAGCAGCTAGTGGGTTTGAATTGCCGACCTTTCGGTTAGTAGCTGAGTGCTTAACCACTGCACCACCAGGGCTCCTAAGATCTCCAGTAGGACAATCCAAATGAGGCATCATCCCCTGGAACCTCATATTTCAAGAGGAACACTTAGTTATTGTCTAGATGGAGCACTAGTGATCGCCATAATGGAAATAGAGGGAGTAGATGGTGATCTTGATATTAAAGAAGTTAGTGTGGGCAAATATTGTGTAATCCCACTTATATGAACTCTCTAGAATAGGCAAATGGACAGAGAGAAAAGTTTATCAGTGGTTACCAGGGGCTGGGGGGAGGAGGGAATGGGAGTTACAGCTAAAGCGGCACTGAGTTTCTGTTTGGGGTGCTGAAAAATTTTGGAAATGGATAGCGGTGATGAAAGCACAACATGGTGAATGTAATTTATGTCACTAAATTGCATACTTAAAATGGTTAAAATGGCACTTTTTGTTATATATATTTTACCACGAGATATCTCCTGGTAAAATATATATATATATATATATATTTCAAAAGAAGTTAGTGTGGAGTGGTGGGAAAGAGTACAAACTCTGGGGCTGGAATGATGTGGGTCCAAATCCTGCCTCTACCTCTTAGCAGCTTTGTCACTTGGGGCAAGGCATTTGACCACTGTCAGCCTTGATTTCTTCTTACCAAGGGGCAGATAGTAATACCTACCTGCAGAACAACTGCAAACATTAAATGCAATAATTCAAAACACCACCCTTTAGTAGGTACCCAATATAAATGGCAGGTATTATTTCTGTTCAATCAACAAACTCTTGTATCAGGAGACTCCCAATTTCCATTCACGTAACAGCCCCAGTGTCATATTTTATCTTTTAAACAAACAGAGAACATCTGAATGCATTCATCTTGCCAGAAGAAAAGAATTATTGCAAGTACAGGTAATCCCCGACTTACGACAGAGTTCCACTCTGACAACTCTGTATCATAGTAAGTCAGTTCTGACGTAAGCCGAATACCTCATTTTCTTTTTAGTTTTCATTACTATTGCCTTTTATTATCAGTATCTTTATAAATCTGATCTTTATTTGTCTTTGGGGGTTGGAAACATTACATATAAACTTACAGATATATTTTAACATTTTATGTAGTACATATTACTAACAATAAGATGTATTACAAAAAAAGACAGTCGTCTAAGTGTAGTTTGTTATAACTCGAATACATCGTAAGTCACAATTTACACAGACATAGAAATAGGTATCTTACCTTCTTATCTTGTTTAAATGGATTGCCAAAAGTATGAAGTCTTTTTGGTTGGTCTGGATCAATCTCTCGAAGTGGAGAAGGCAACGTCTTCAGATATTCCTGATAGTTTCCCATTTGTGCAACTGGAACACTATGAAGTGAATCTGCAAAATCGCCGGAAAAGAAACGGATGCTTATACATCTGAAGTGTATGACCTTTTGGGAGGTCATGATCATAGACTGCTGTCTCAGCACCAAATAGAGTCTAAAATCTCAAATAGCATCATCCTATCCTAGGATCTAGAATATTCTCCCTGCATCTCAAGTCATTAATCAATCCACCATTACTTCTCAAATAACTAGGCCCAGAACAATTCCCTTACCCTTCAAACCAGGCTGACCTCCCTTATACCACCATCTCAACTCAGAAAACCATATTTGTTCCCCATTAAGAAGAATCTAAGCTCCATGGTAGTCTCTTATCATCCAGAGAACCTTGGGTAGTGGGTTTTAACCTCTTTGAGAATTTGATTTAATCTACAGACTTTCTTCCCAGAAAAGTCTGCTTTCACACAAAACTTGGTGTATAATTTGAAAGAGTTGTCCAGGATAAGAATTGCTCAATCTAGTGGACAGATGATCCCACTTAAAATTAACAAAATGGAGTAAAGGGGAATTTTAAATAGTCACCAATTATCCTGGATCCTATCAAGTTCATTACTCTCACGTAGATGAGGAATTCTCTACTGAACTCATCATGGCAGGTGGTGTGGTATAGTGTTTGGATGTGCAGTCTCCAAACACCGACAGACCTAGCTTCTGCCACTTTCCAACTGGCTAAAGCTGAGCAGACTCCTTAAATACTCATGCTCAGTTTCTATGTCCATAAAATGGACATAAAAACAGTATCTACCTCACGGGGTTGTTTTGAGGATTATGAGAGATAAAGCATGGAGAGTGTAGCGTAAGCACTGATTAACTCACACTTCTTGTATCTGAGAAATACTTGTGTCTGGGTAAACGCTGGGATTCAGTGAAAACAGGCATTCTAAACATTAAAATGTTACAAAATAACCTACTCATTGTGCAAGAAGCACCTTCATGTAAGTCAGACTTGACATTTTCATAATCAAGGAAATGTGCCTCCCTGTTCCTTTACCTTCATCTTGGCCAACAATAAACTTGCGTGTTTTCAACAGATTAGATCTCATTCTGGTTAATTGGTCTAAAAGACCACTACGTGGAATATCATAAGCATTTCTGTATGTCTGAGGTTTCAAATCCTGTTTGAGATGAAACAAATCATTTCAGTTACTCCTGAGGCATTTAATACAGACATGTAATACTTAACCCTCCTAAAATCTTAGGGAAAGACTCTACAATCAACAAAACAAACTACAATAGAATTTTCCCAGTGGAAAATTTCCACTTGTTGGCCTTGTTCCTCATTCTAATATACCTACAAAGCATTAAAGCCACTAGGAATATCCTTGATCAAGTATGTTATCTGAAACACGAAATCCTGAGATTTATGCTTGCAGCAGCCTTGCAGGACCGTGGCTTGTCATCTAGATTTCATCTCTGACAGCCATGGAGGTGAGTGAGCCACTAGGACCTGCCTTCAGGAAACAATGGCTGATCCACTGCGAGCAGTGCAGTTAGTTGAAAGCCATCAGCTTGCAGTACCTTTGGGATCTGCCACAGCAGTGAGCTGAGGCCATGCTTTTCCCAGACTGCCCCAGACAATGACTGAGAACGGCGGGGTGTTAGTGACTGCCCAGTTTTGTCCAGTGGGGACCTCCTCTATGGGAAATCTTGGTGCTAGAGGTCTCCAAGACTTTCTACAAGCTGTACCACTCTTTATACCCAATCCTCCTTACTTCCCCTTCTCCCCTCACAGGTGCAAAATCAGCACTGTGGTCTGAAGACTCTCCCTGCTTACTCCTGCTTCCTCTCCCTTTTATTTTTCATGGGTATTACTTCCCCAAAATATATTGTACTTTTAATTTTTTTTTGGGGGGTGAATAATTTTTTTTTATTTTTTATTGTGCTTTAGGTGAAAGTTTACAGCTTAAGTTAATTTCTCATTCAAAAATTTACACACATACTGTTTTGTGACATTAGTTACAATCCCCACTTAATTCTGTATTGACGTCTGCTGGCAGGAGGATCCAACCTACCCAATTCTTAAACTGGTCAATTAGTAATTACTAAGCCTCAAATTGAATCATCATTATTTCAAAACAAAAGTAATATGAAAGACATAAATGTATCAGATAAACTCAAACAAATGCAAACTATTCATGTCACAATTTACCTTGTTTAAGAGCCCTATTTGGAAACCAGCAAATTCTTTGGTACTCAATTCTGCCAGTCTTAGTGCAGCTTCCCCTGTGATTTCATTCAACAGCTTTCTAAAATTTTGACTGTGAGTCAAAGACATTCCACCTCCAGAATGATTTTTCACTTTGATTCCGATTTCCTGTGGAGGTTTCTTCCCTACTGATGCTAGTATTCGTTCTGACTCTAGTTTGGTCTAAAATGAAAGTACATAGCATGTTATGAAAAGACCTATAATATCACTGTCTCCTTACTATTTAAGAAAGATAAATACTTTAAGAACCCAACAGAACTTTTCCATTGCAAATCACAGAAAAATGGATAATTATAATTTCCCTATGCTTCTCTGTACTACCACAGCACACGGAGAGGGGAGAATAGATAGGCAATTAACTTGAATACTTTTTTCTCTTGTCGAGTGTCAAATTATGATTGAGTCATGGAAAAAACGGACACCAGGGATAAGAATTTCTTTCATAGACATTTAGAAGCACATCTTGTTACTGTAAAAACTAGTCTAAGACAATATCTCAGACCCAGACAAAAAGTTTTAAGACTCTGTATTTATAAATGCAAACTAGTACTGAAATTCAGGTTACATAGGTCAGCATTATATCTGAAAAAATTAAACTATATATTCTTAATATCAGACCATCCAAAAAACATCTGAGAAGATAATGCTTAATTTAACAGATATGGCCAAGTAAATAATTTTTAATGTATACTCAATAAGTTTCCTACTAACTTATAATGAAAAAAATCCCCTCAATAGACACTATTATCTCATATTGACAAATATTGCTTAAGAGTGAATTGTTGCAATATTGCATATTGAGCATATTTTATGTTTTATGTACATCAGAGACAGTTCAAGGAACACTGATGACATAGAGCTTTTATACCTACATAATCATAAGTTAGTAATGATCTTTTGTTTTTCTCTAAAGATGGAACTCTACCAATGTTCGGTAAGTCCAAAATAATTACGGGGTTCTTGGGGTTTGGTCAGAGATATTTATCAATTTGCTCCAATTATTGGAATTAAGTATGTTTATCTCTTTAAAAAATTCTTAAGTCATGAAATACAGGATAAGAGCAAATGAAGGCTCTGTTTCCTTAAATGGTCTTAGAAGTTCATTTACAAAAATACACAAGTAATGTGTCCTAGAAGGTCCCAGAACTTATATTAGTTTCAACTCTGTTTAGCATTCTTCCTTCTGGCCATACCCTGCTGAAACAGCCTTAAAGGCCCAAGGTAAGCATCAAATAAAGAAATAAACCAATATATAAACAAATTAATAACCAAAACAAAACATCATCAACAACAACAAAAATAAAAATCTATTAGCAGAAAAGAAAAGGGGTTAAGGGGATACTTGGTAGATCAGAAATTTGGGTTTGCCTTTATTTTCTGTTTCACTTATGAGCACACTGGACTGGTAGGAGCTGGTAAACTGCAGAGGGTACTCAAGTTTGTGCCAGTTCCTAGCAAGGTGCGTCAGCATCCCAATCGTGGAGTCATTTTGGTTTTATAGTGAAATCTGTCACTTTGCTTACTACTCTCTTGTTTTCTAAAGGATCAACTTCCAAACAGCTCCAGCTTGAAGGCTTATAGTCACTGCAAGTGCTACTACTGTTTCCTACCTGGGAATACATTGGTACATAAGAAGAAAGTAAAACTGCAGCATTGATTTTTCATATAACATAATACATATGGTATGGCAGTAAGGCTCTAACTCGGTAGTTCGCAAACATTTCCATCCCGCAAGAATGGGCTACGGAGAGGTGAGAAGTATGGTAAGGAGGGGTGAGTGGAGAATGAGGTACTAATAGAGAGGGGCAGGCAAGGGACAAGGTGAACAATGGTAAATGAGGTGGGGGTAAAAAGGAATTTCTCTCTTCAGGTCCCCTTGGGGCCTACCACCCTCCGGTTTGAAGAACATTGGTCTCGTCTCCCCCCTCCTCCTCCCCAAGAAAAGCATAGGGACATTTATCCAAGGGCTAGCATGTGAGTGTAAGTCCTTCACATGCCTGAAAATTACTTGTAGGCAAGTCGTGTAATCACACCATGCCTCAGCGTGCTGACCTCAAAAAAGAAGAGGCACTGGTCCAAAGTAATTTGAGGAGAAACTAGATTGAGGATAGACAAAAATGTGACCCAAGAGATAATTCTTTTAAGCCTCTGCCCCTCTTAAGCCACAGAATATCCACCAGCTTGTAGGCAGGGCAAATAGGTAAGTAAAAGGAGAAATGGCACAGCATCAAATGATACTGACAGACCCTTAGCTGCAGTTTAATGGTGAAGCTAGAAGCCATAGAGAATCACATTGTTACTAATCCATAGAGTGTAGAAATATATACACATTTAATTTGAAAAATTACAATTACACTAAAGAATAAGGAAATGCACTTCTGAGGGCAAAGGAGTTTTGTTTGTTTGTTTTTACCAATACTACCTGTTGGCTGAGTTTTTTAAGGTAAGAGATAACACTGTAACTAAGTCCACAATCTAAATTATCTGATATCAGATTTGGAGCTCCCATCATCCTTAGTGCTTTCTTTAATGGCTATAAGGAAACAAAATACACAACAGTAAGAATAGAATAAATCTTAAAATACTCAAAGTTCAGTTACAAGGGGCAAAGGGACATGATTCATTTCTTAGAAGTCAAGGTGCTGCACATAAAACCAAACATGGAACATTAAAAAGTGGGAATGAAAAATAGCAGAGAAGTAAGGAGCAGAAAATAAAAAAAAATCAGAGGAGAGTGGGATCAGAAGAGCAAGTAACAACAAATTCAAACAATGGGTAAATTGCTTTCAGTCTTAAGTCCCAAGCCCTAAAACCATTTTACACTGCATGTTATTGTGTACCCCATTCCTGCCATGGCAATCCTAACACACCCCAATTTCTCCTCCCGGTGACACCAATGGTACCAGTTAAGGTTCTACCTTTTCACCTCTAGAAACTTGGCTTAAAGTTTACCAAGTCAACCTCTGAAATGATTTGATGATCTTAATTTAGGTTATATTACCTGATGCCGTCAAGTCGATTTCGACTCATGGTGACCCCATGTGCTTCAAAGTACAATTGCTCCATAGGGTTTTCTTGGCTGTAATCTCATGGAAGCGGATTGCCAGGCCTTTCTTCCGCAGTGTGGCTGGGTGGATTTGAACCACTAACCTCTCGATTAGTAGCTGAGAGCAAACCATATGCACCACCCAGGGACCAGTTCAAAAATTATCATGAATACTTATGTCAAATTGTAAAAGCCAAAATGAGGCCAAGTAGGTTTTTACTCTTTTTGGATCCCCCGCTAGCACCCCCACCTCTTGCAGTCTCTAAAACACGTTTAACAGGAAATAAGTAAATATAATGACTCCAGAAAATTTTCTTTTTTCAGAAGGAAACCCCACATTGAGAATTTCTAGAGTTAAAAAGGGAAGCTGATGTAATACATGAATCCAGACCTAGTTATTCTTAAATTCCAAAATTACAATCTCCTAAGGTTAGTTTTAATAAGAGAAACAGAGAGGTATTTTATAAAAATAACCATGACAGTTAAAGTAAATAAAATACAGTTCTTTTTTTTTTTTTTTGTGCCGCCATTGTCATCTCCAAACTCTTACACATGGTTTGAGAAGACCGTGACAACACAAATACTTATGAAATAAAAAGATAACTATCTTATTTCAGGGGTAAAGCTCGAGACAAGAATCATCATTTCTATAGTTAATACATATATACACATAAATACATACTAATAAGAAGTATGGAGGCAGAGTTTTTAAGTAGCTGTCAAAAGCCTGTCGCCACTTCAGATTGGGCTTAAGTTTGTGAACTTTAAACAAGTCATCTGTAATAGAAAACCAAGTAAAACATTACATTATTCCAGTTCTGCATGCCAAAAGCAAAATCAAGCAATCCACATCTATTATATCACTTACTGGAAATCTCAATTTTTAGATACATTAGATGAACATTTCATTGGAGTTTATTTGATGATCTTTTTTGGTGGTTGCAATATTTATTAAAATTATATATAGTATTTTTCTAGAAAATAAAATAAATTCTTAAGTGTTATGGATTAAATTGTGTTCCCCCACCAAAAGATATGTTGAAGTTCTAGCCCCTGTACCTGTGAATATGACTTCCTTTGGATATAAGGTCTTTCTTTGAAGATGTTATCAGTAAAGTTAATGAGGTCATAATGGAGTAGGGTGGGTCCTAATGTCTTCTCAGTGGTGTCTTATAAAAGGGGAGAACAGACATGAGACAGAGTCACACAAGAGGAGACGCTATGTGAAGATGCATTGAAAAGCCAAGGAATGCCAAGAAACGCCCAGGGCCACCAGAAACTGGAAGAAGCAAGAAAGGATCTTCCCCTAGAGCAGACAAAGAGAGCACAGGCCTGCCCACGCCCGAAATTTGGACTCCTAGCCTCCAGAACAGTGAGAAATTAAATTTCTGTTCTTCAAATCTACCCATTTTGTGGTAGTTACAGCAGCCCTTGGAAACTAAGACATTAAGTTAAACATTACTCTTCTATCTGTGAAGCTACATACAACATAACAACACCGATTCTGATCCACCTGAAATACTTTTCTGACCTGTTACATACTGGTAACGCTACTGTAAGAATTTTTACCTGAGGGGAAATCCACGGTCACTGGTTGATGGAATAACATTTCTTTTATTTAAACATAGACAGTGTTGTGCTTTTTGTTGAAAGGTCAAGGCAAGAGACTTTACAAAGTGTATAAGGACAAAAGCTAAGCGTCTAATTTCTAGGCAATGAAGGCAAACTAAATTATCTTTTGGAGTCTCCTTAATCTGCCCATACTTTCTTTCGTCATATTTCATCCCTCCTCACTTCATTTCTTTGATTTTTGGAATCAAACATTTTGAGCCAAAGTTTGAGTCTTTCGAATATTAGTTAACAATTGGGTGCTGGTACTAGTAATAGCATATAGTGGTGTTAGGTTGAAGTTTAAAATTTCATACGACTGAACATGTTTCTTGAATACCATATGCATTATTATAGCTAAAGATATTTACCTCAAATAAACAGATATCTCCTATCTTTTCACATGCAACTATAATTATTCTAATAATCTACATATATTTTATATATATATATATATAAACCAAACCCTTTGCCATCGAGTCAATTCCAACTCACAGCGACCCTATAGGACAGAGTAGAACTGCCTCATAGGGTTTCCAAGGACCGGGCTGGTGGATTCGAAGCGCCAACCTTTTGGTTAGCAGCCATAGCTCTCAACCACTGTGCCACCAGGGCTCCATATTAAACATACTATATGGAAATTTCCAAAACATCTCATTATTTCTTTCCCTGGGTAAAAAAAAAAAAAAAAAAGTTTCTTTCTAATAGAATCATTCGAAATTGGTACCTCCAGACATCAACATGAACCTGCCACACTTACTCTAAATACCAAAGATATTATACATTCAATTCATCCTCTATTTTGTTTCTTCAGGTTTTACTGGTTCTTATAAAAAAAAATCAAAATCATCCCTCTGCCACATGCATGATTTTCGTACAAACAGGGCTGTTCTTTGAAATTCTGAATTACTTTATTTAAGAAAAGCAACTATATATTTTCTTCTTTTCACTCCCATAATAAATTATTCCCTCTAGCTGACACTAATTTAAATGAATTCACAAAGTCATAAAATTTAGATCTTTTGTTCTTTTATTACAGAAAGAGCAAAGTAAAACAGATCTGAGATTTCTGCCTCATTATAGCAAGGAGGGCTTTTAAAGGCCATTCCTATCTTGACAGAAAGGAATGAGAGATCCTGGACATATCGTGTTATATTGTGTCTTTATGTGGAATCTGTTGGGAATAGGCAGATTTGGGGAAGTAGCTAACAAATTTAAATACCACACGACTGGAGAGACTTTTAGATATAAATACATTAGGTCATCAGAGTTAATAATACTCTTAATACTTCTACCAATGCCAGGTGCAACAATTCCATCCAGGAGCCGGTTTAGTCTAATTATGTCTTGCCAGATTTTTTATTTTTCACAGTCTAGATTAAGGGTGACACTGCTTTAGTTACTACCTCTGTGGCTCAGAAAAATGATTTTCCTGTTTTTATATTTCCATTCAGATGGAGTCTCTAGCATGGTACAGTAAAGATATCAGGAACAATTAGCTAACCAACATTTGAAAGACGATGAGGTGATAGTGTAGAGTCAGAGTAAAATGATACTGCCAACACCTCATAAATCACTGATATTTTCTCTTCCAGTTCCTTTCTCCTCATTTCCGTCTTCACAGAGGGGGAAGACCTGGGTTTGAATCTAAGCTCAGTCACATCCTTAGGTGAGTAAGCTTCAAGAAATCACTTCCCCTTTTTGAGTCTCATCTATAAAATGGGTTTAAGGATAACTGCCTTACCACACAGGATTGTTGTAAGGAACTTGATTACATATGTGAAAACACTGCATAAAATGAAAAGAACTGGCAAACCGTAAAGCATTAGATACAGAGTGATTGGTACACAACAAATTATCCTCCTGTTCTCTATCCCCACACTTCTCTCCTTCCTCCTCCTGATCATAAACGGCCTTAATATGGTGCAAAATTTTATTTGTTTTGCACAAGTCCCCAGCTCTTGATTTTAAAAAGAAATGTTCATTGAAGGTGGAGTATTTCTTTAAGAAAAGAAAAAAAAGCAAAGTTGCTACAAATGCCCTAGTTTCTGCAGTTATTGGCCCTCAATTGAAAAAATAATTTCCTAATTGAGAGATAATCCCCTAGCCAACTGCAACGATCTGGTGACCACCCTACTGATACGATTGTTCTGGTAACTCATTGATCCAATTAAGCTTCATTTATCTATCACCAGGAAATTCGATATTTCACGTTTTCCAGGTAAACTTTAGTGCTTAAATAATTAAATCTTTGTTAGCTATCTGTGATGGAAATATTGCATTAATGAAGAGGAAACTGGGGTCACCACTACGGACAATTATTGTATCATACAGTAATATAATGATGTTTCTAGACATTATGAAGTGTGTCTTAACTTTTTCTTAAGTGCCCCTGACCACTAAAACTTCAAAACTCTCCTATATCCTTACATTATGTCCTTGATATGGAATGCCAAAACCTTCAAGAGCTACTAAAATAATGTCAACATTAATAAAGACAATAATAATAATAGCATTTATTGAGCACTTACTATTTGCCAGGCATCGTTCTAAGCAATTTACCTGTGTTAACTCATTTAATTCCAACTACATCCCTCTGAGGTAGGTACTATCTTTATTCCCACCTTATAGATGAGGAAACTAAGGCACAGAGAAGTTAAGTATCTTGTCCAATGTCACAAAACTAGCAAATGGCAGAGCGAGGATTCATACTCAGGCATAAATGTCTCATAGCTCATACTCTTAACCACTATGGATATTACACCATCTAAAAAGTGAAGTAATGGTGGAAATGTTGAGTTTGTGTGTATTTCAGAACCTCGACATGAAACCTAAGTTGGGGATTCAGAGGCAGAACTACTTATAGCTTCAAAGAGGGTGAGAAACTCTATGCTCCTTGCAAGGCGCAGAGGGACGAGTGAAGCCAAAGGGCAGAATGCGAGCTGAGTTAAGAGTGCGAGAGCCCTCAACTGATGTGTGGGGTTAGGGAAGGGGGAGGAGTCAAAGATGCCTCCAGGGCTTCTGGTTTGGGATATTTGTAGAGGGCTGGGATATTTGTACAGGGATGGTGATGCCACTAACTAGATTGTGGAGAGAGGAGGAAGAGCATGGCAGGAATGGGTAAGATAAGTTCTGCTTGGCTTGAAGTTACCCTGGAAACATCCAGAAGGCCGTTGGACAGCTAGAATCATTTAGGTCACTATGCTCTAGGCAAGATTGCAGGCTAAGGAGGGCCAGGGACAGATGTCACACATGCCTTGCTGGTGATAGAAGACAGACATTTCAGACAGAAGGGGAACATGGCATTTGGGGAATATAGTGGTGCAGACTAATGCTCAAGTAACCCAAAAGAAATTAGGAAAATGAAAAATGGATAAAACAAAAATATAAAATGGAAAACTTAAACCCCGACATAACAATAATTACATTAGATGTAAATAGTCTACATACACCCATTACAATATAGAGACTGACAAAGCAGAATAAAACACATCACCCCAAAATGTGCTGTTTACAAGAAACTCACTTCAAATATAATCATATAGGCAGGTTGAAAGTAAAAGGATGGAGAAAGATATTCCAGGTAAACATTAATCAAAGAAAAGCAGGGGTAGCAATATTAATATCAGATAAAGTAGAATTCAGAGCAAAGAAAATTACCAGAGACATAGAAGGACATTACATAAATGATAAATGATAAATGATCAGTCCACCAAGAATACACAGTAATACTAAATGCGTATGAACCAAATAACAGAACTGTAAATATGTGAAGCAAAAAGAGTGATGGAACTGAAAGGAGAAATAAACAAATCCACAATTATGGTTGGAGATTTTAACACACATAAATTCCCAAAATTCCCCCAATATGAAATAGATAATTTGAATATCCCTATAACTATGAAGGAAATTGAACTAATAATCTTAAGACTGACCAAAAGGAATCTCCAGGCGCAGTTGGTTTGACTGGAGAAATCCATCAAATGTTTAAAGAATTAATACCAACTATATACAATCTCTTCCAAAAATAGAATAGGAAGGAACACTTCTCAATTCATTTTATGAAGCTAGTAATTACCCTAATACCAAAACCAAAGACAATTAAAACAAGAAAAAAAACTACAGTCCAATATCCTTCATGAATATAGTTGCAGAAACCCTTAATAAAATATTAGCCCGTAGAATTCAGAATATATAAAAAGAATTATGCATCATGACCAAGTAGGCTTTATTCCAAGGATGGAAGGCAGGTTTAATGTTTGAAAATGAATCAATGTAATCCATCATACTAGCAGACTGTCATGGATTGAATTATGTCCCCCCAAAAATGTGTGTATCAATTTGGCTGCGCCATGATTTCCAGTATTGTGTGATTGTCCTCCATTTTGAGTTTGCAATTTTATGTTAAAGAGGATTAGGGTGGCATTGTAACACCCTTACTAAGATCACATCACTGATCCAATGTAAAGGGAGTCTCCCTGGGGTGTGGCTGCACTACCTTTCATAAGAGATAAAAGGAAAGGTAAGCAAGCAGAGAGTTGGCGACCTCATACCATCAAGAAAGAAGTGCCAGGAGCACAGCGCATCCTTTGGATCCGGGGTCCCTGCACGGAGAAGCTCCTAGTCCAGGGGAAGATTGATGAGAAGGCCAACAGAGAGAGAAAGCCTTCCTCTGGAGTTGACGCCCTAAATTTGGACTTTTACCCTACTTTACTGTGAGGAAATAAATTTCTCTTTGTTAAAGCCATCCACTTGTGGTATTTCTGTTAGAGCAGCACTAGATACTAACACACAGGCTAACTAAGAAAAATAATATGATCCCATCCCTTGATGCAGGAAAAACATTTGACTAAATTTAACACCCATTCATGCTAAAAAAAAATACTCTCACAAAAACAGAAACGGGGAACTTCTTCAACTTGATAAAGAAAATCTACAAAAAACCTACAGCTAACATTATACTTAATGGTGAAAGATTAAATGCTTTCTAACTAAGATCGGGAAACAAGGCAAAGACGCTCACTCTCACCATTCTTATCCAACATAGTGTTAGAAGTTTATGGATTGGAAACACAAAAGTATAAAGACGGCAACTATCCCTAAATTTATATACATATTTAAGGCAATTCCTATCAAAACCCCAGCAAAAATTTTTGTAGATATAGACAAAGTTATTCTAAAATTTATATGGAAAAGCAAAAGAACTAGAATAGCCAAAATAATTTTGAAAAACAAGAATGAAGTGGGACGGATCTGTCTACCTGATTCCAAGACTTATTATATAACTACAAGTTATCAAGACTGTGTGGTATTGGTGGAGGGATAGACAAATAGATCAATGGAATAGAACGGAGTACCCAGAAATGACCCCATATAAATACAGCCAACTGATTCTTGACAAAGGTGCAAAAGCAATTCAGTGGAGGAAAGGGAGCCTCTTCAACAAATGGTGCTACAGCAACTGGTCATCCACAGGCAAGAATAATAAACGTTAACCTAAGTCTTACATTATATACACAAATGAAATCAAAATAGATCACAGACATAAAGGTAAAACATAAAACTACAAAACTTTTAGAAAAAAACTTAGGAGAAAATCTTCAGGGTCTAGGGCTAGGCACAGTGCTCTTAGACTTGACACCAAAAACATTAACCATAAAAGAAAAAATTGGTAAATTGAGGTTCATCAAAAATAAAAACTTTTGCTTCGAAAAGACCCTGTGAAGAACATGAAAAAGCAAGCTACAGAGTTGAAGAAAATATTTGCAAGCCACATATCGAGCAAAGGACTAGTATCTAGAATATATAAAGAACTCCCAAAACTCAACAGTAACAGTCATGGGGTTGTTAACCAGTCATAAAACAATACGTGTACTAACTGTTTAATAAGAAGCTAGTTTGTTCTGTAAACCTTCATCTAAAGTACAAATTAAAAAAAAAAAAACAGTAACAAAAACAAACAATCCAATTAGAACATGGACGAAAGACATGAAGAGACATTTCACCAATGAGGTTATAAATTGGCAAGTAAACACATGAAAAGAAATACAATATCATTGTTGTTGTTAGTTGCCATTGAGTCAATTCCGACCCCATATGTGCAGAATAGAACTGTTCCATAGGGTTTTCAACGCTGTGACCTTTCAGAAGCAGATCACCAGGCCTGTCTTCTGAGGCGCCTCTGGGTGGGTTCAAACCACCAACCTTTTGGCTAGTAGTCAAGCATTTAACCATTTGTGCTGCACATTTTCAAAAAAAAAAAAAATCCAGTTGCTGTCAAGTTGATTCCAACTCATGGAGACCCCATATGTGTCAGAGTAGAACAGCACTCCACATGCTGATTTTTTCAGAAGTAGATCACCAGGCCTTTCTTCCGAGGTGCCTCTGGGTGGACTTGAACCTCTAGTCTTTCAATTAGCTTAACCATTTGCACCACCCAGGGATCTTTAGCCATTAGGGAACCTCAAATTAAAACCACACTGCTATATCACCATACACACCTATCAAAATGGCTAAAATTAAAAAAAAAACTGACCCCACCAAATGCTGGAGAGGATGAAGAAAAACTCAATCATTCACACATTGATGGTGCGAATGTAAAATGGTCTAGCCGCTCTGGAAAATACTTTGGCAGTTCCTTAAAAACTAAACATACAACTACCACAGGACCTGACAATTGCATTCCTGCACATTTAACCCGGAGAAATGAAAACTTCTTGTTCACACACAAACCTGTACACAAATGTTCGTAGCAGATTTATTCACAACAGCCCAAAAGCAGAAATAACACAGATGTCCCTCAACAGGTGAATGGTTAAACAAATTATGGTATACCCATACCATGGAATACTACTCAGCAAAAAAAAAAGAAAGAAAGAAAGAAATGAAATATTGATATACACAACAACTCAGAGAGTTATGCCGAGTGAAAAAAAGCCAATCCCAAAAGATAATATACTGAATGATTCCATTTATATAACATTCTTGAAGTGATGAAATTATAAAAATGGAGAACAAATTAGTAGTTGCCAGCAGTTAACGAGGGGGTGGCAGTTGAAGGGAAGTGGGTGTGGCTACTAAAGGCAACATAAGGGATCCTTGTTGATGGAACTATTCTGTGTCTTGACTGTATCAGTGTCAACATCCTGGTTGTGATCTTGTACTATAGCTTTACAAGATATCCTTCTGGGGGATACTGGGTAAAGGGCACGTGGGATCTTTCCGTATTATTTCTTATAACTGCATGTGAATCTACAATTATCTTTTTAAAAGTTTACTTTAAAAAACAGAAAAATACTACTACTAACAGAGTCTACGTGAAGATCATCTAGTCTTCACTTTATAGTTGTGGAAATTGAGGTCATAAAGGCACATCTAAGAAAAGGCGGTAAATAAACCCACAAAATACAGACACGCTGGTGCTGTCAGTCTTATTAATCTCAGAAACATAATCTATATGTTATATCAGTGACAACCAACTCTTAGAAATAAGACATTTTTAGATTGGACTAACAAATAAAGTAGATTAAAAACAAACAAAAAAACCCATTGCCGTCGATTCCGACTCATAGCGACCCTATAGGATGGAGTAGAACTGCCCCATAGAGTTTCCAAGGAGCAGCTGGTGGATTTGAACTGCCGACCTTTTGGTTAGCAGCCATAGCTCTTAACCACTATGCCACCAGGGTTTCCCAATAAAGTAGACAGGCTACTGAAAACAGTCATGCTAATATATTTATGATGATGACCCACTCTTAACCTTCTTAACTCGCGACATTTTAAAGTATTGCTTTTTCAGTACACTCAACATATACAGTATTTATAGCATGAAAAAATTCTCATGCTTTTAATGACTATATGAAAACTTAGTAAAGATCTGATCCCTTTCACAAAAATTAAGAAACCCTACCAAATCAAAATGTTCACAACTTTACAAATAGAAGAATACCATGCAGTACTTTATTACTCTAAAATGATGTGGCTCTTCAAACGAGAAAAAACTCTCCACACACATTTTTAGTAGTATGTGAGTAACAGCTTCTGGAGTTGTTCCTTTTACAATTTTGCCATGGAAACCAAAGCTTCTACAACTAGAGTTATTGCAAAATTTAGTCTTGTACCTATTTCCTTACTTCGCTACCTTGCCTAAAACACATGCCTCAAGAGCATTTAGCATTCCTCTGTGGAGAAACAGAACCTTGGTGGCATAGCGGTTAAGAGCTGTGGCTGCTAACCAAAAGTTCTGCAGTTCCAATCCACCAGGTGCTCCTTGGAAACTCGATGGAGCAGTTCTACTCTGTCCTATAGGGTTGCTATGAGTTGGAATCAACTCGATGGCAATGAGTTTGTTTGTTTGTTTGTTTTTCTGTAGAGAAAAGAGTGTAAGCCAATTCCCCCATGGAAGTTCTATTTTCTGAAGAAAACCATGCGGTTCTTGGGGAATTGACCTCAATCCATAGTATTTTTGGCCCAAACTAGTCCATAAAAAAGCTAAGTGCACCAGAGGTTGTCTCAAAATGAACAAAACAAAAAACAGTATGCAAATTTAACCCTTCCAGATCAGTTTTTAGACTTACACATCCTGCTATCAATTATTCTTTGACTACATTTAAAATGCTTAGTCCATGACCTATTTTTGTTTTTGCTGTATTTTAAAAATGATGAAATGGCACATATTGTACTTACCTAAAAGAGGGAGTAAAACTGGGTAGTTGTAAGGCATCACAAAGAGGTTTACACAAGTTAAAGTCGTACTGGCTTTTAAATAACCAAATGGATATCCAAGTTCATTGTATTTTCCACTGTTATTAACAAATACCTGACAAGAACAGGAAGTAATGTATAGTTATGACAATAAGGATTTCATGTAAAGCCAAGCACATGGTATTGTATAGCAAGGTCTATGGCCCAAGTTAATGGTAATTTTAAGACAAGAATAGGGCTTTTAGCCTATGGTTATGTCAAAATATGTCATATTAAATAGGAATGTTCCGATTAAAATTCCTTTGTAAATTATATTAAGAAATGAAGCTACACTATGAATAGCCATTCGGAGACCACAGGCTATACTGACGGTACCCAAAGATTTACTTGGTTAGCACAATGGAAAGTAAGGCTGAAATACAGCTGAGTGATACCAGCCATTAAAGCAAATTAACTTCTCAAAAGGACAAGTAGTGACCAGAGTGAAGACTTTAGGAAAATGGAACAAGGTCCCATGCCTAAAGCACACGTTTACCAAAACAGGGCCCAGTTAAAGGATTATGCTAATGGTCCTGTGTGTACTGCTATTAAGTCTTGCTTACCCCTTTCTGCTCTACTTCCCTTTGCTGCTCCGTCCCCGATCCATTCATTATTTTTCATTGAATAAGTATTTCAGAGCCGCGGTGGCGCAGTGGTTAAGTGCTATGGCTGCTAACCAAAAGGTCAGCAGTTCAAATCCACCAGCCGCTCTTTGGAAACCCTATAGGGCAGTTCTACTCTGTCCTCTAGGGCCGCTATGGGTTGGAATCGACTTTATGGTATGGGTTTAGTTTGGATTTTTTTCTACTATAAGCCAGGCACTGGTGCTAATTATTTTGAGGCAGCAAGGAGATGCTTTGGTTCAATCTAGAAGACATTTTCTCTTCTAAGTTATGCTAGTAGAGCAAACACTTAATAATGATTAAGACATGTATCTCTATTCCATATGACTATCATCTTATTCCTTATCGAGATGCAGGATTTGATATATTTTTACATCATCAGCCCCCACACATTTGCTATGCTGTGCTAGAGTCCTACCAAGTTTTCTCTGTGTTCCATGTTAAGACTCTTTGGTCCAAATCAGGACCCCAGTATATACTTTTAGGGACTTGTTGGTTGCTGTAGAGTAGGCTCCAACTCATGGCGACTTTATGTAGAAAAACCATAATGTTGCCTGGTCCTGTGGTATCTTCACGATCATTGATATGTTTGAGTTCACTGTTGTGGGTATTGTGTAGTAACTTCCAATCCAAGCGGCTTATCTTCCAGCACTATATTGGACAATATTCTGTTGTGATCCATAGGGTTTTCATTGGCTAATTTTCAGAAGTAGATCACCAGGCCTTTCTTCCTAGTCTGTCTTAGCTTGGAAGCCCTGCTGAAACCTGTTCACCACGGGTGAACCTGCTGGTATTTGAAATACTGGTGACATAGCTTCCAGCATCACATCAACACACAACCCACCACAGTACAACAAACTGACAGCTGGGTGATTGTTTAAAGCCCTAGACATTACCTTTTCCAAAGTCTTTTGGCAGGATCATTTAAGACAAGGTCAAACCCTGATATTTAACAGAATCCATTTACCTTGCTAGTCTTTTGTACCAGCAATCTTATTTATCAGTTCATTAAACTCTTGCTATATTTCATTATAGCTAAGGAGAAATTTTTGCTACGTAATTTATGACTCCATGAAACAATGAATTGTGCTAAAACATGATTTTAGATTTCATGTCTTAATTTGAACCTTAATAGAAACAAAGATAGCTGTAATATAGCATCTTATATTTCCTCCTACTTCCTAAGTGTGCATATTAGGGGGTGGGGATAACCGTAAAGAATAAAAAAAATCACATACACATGATTCTCATGAAAGGAAAAACACTAGCATTGTTTTTTTTTTTTTGTTTGTTTGTTTGTTTTCTCTCTCTCTCTCTCTGCATAAGCCTCTTGAGTTTTTCCAAATACCTTATTACCCACACATACATAGAATTTTGAGCTTGGAAGGATCTTTAGAGACCATCTAGTCCAGAGAAAGTAAGTGTCTGGTCCAAAGCCACATAGTTGGTGGCAGAGCTAGGGCTAGAATCCAGTCTCCATTACGGTTTTGCCAAATTTCCTGGCTCCTGGTTCATCATATTCTTTTTCACTCCCACTAATTTATCGCATGAAAACTATTCTAAATCAAAGCAACATAAGGTACAGAGAAAGGCACATGGCATATTTGAGGGGAGGTGCAGGAAGTGAGGCCAGGATTTCTTTGGAGAAGTTTATAAGGAATTTGCTATATAGAAAAGAGGGTTTAGTTTAGGGGAAAAGTATAATGTATCATTTTATGTGCTTCCATTGCAAAAACATTTTTTTCATCCTATAAATCAAACCTTATATCTTGATTTTAAGGTAGCATTCTATTATTCACATCTCTAAATTTCCAGCACTTTTTTGGTGAATTTCCTTGAAATATAAATGCATCCCCCCAAAAAAGGGCATGAACTACAAATGTACAGCTCAATGGCTTTTCATTCCTACAGTGAACGCACACGTGTACCCAGCGCCCAGGTTAGGAAACCGAACCTGACCAGAAACCCCTTCATGTCCTCTTCTGGTCCCTAGCCTGCACCTCCAAGAGAAACCACACTCCTGACTTCCCACACAGCAAGTGTGTTTTATCTGTTCTTGGACTTGTATGAAGTGGAATCGCACCATCTGTGATCTTTTCTGTCTGGCTTCTTTGGCTCAATATTACGTTTGTGAGAGCCTTCTGTTTCTAGCACTTGTACATCCTTGTTTTACGCCAGTCTCTGTTTTTCAACCTGGTTTTCACATCTCGGGAGAACTTAAGTGGCTTAAAGACAACTAGTAGCATTCATCACACATTTCGGGGTGAAACAGATGGCCGTCTGAAAGTGTTTCTTATGTAAATAAAACCTAACAGCTACTGATGGCTATATGGTCCTGTGGTTCATAAACAGAACAGACATCCTCACAGCGTAGGACTTCCTTGTTGTATCCAAATAAAAAGGCGGTGCCTAGATTCTTACAAACTAAAATCCATAGGCAAATCTATTAAGCAATCTCCAAGCTCTTCTGGCTGAAGTTGACTACTTGGAAGAACCAGTGTATGGTATCTCTGTGCACTTGCCTCATCCAAGTAAAATCCACACTACACACACCAGTGATATTTGTTACTACAGGCAGCAGAAGAGTTTTATTATATTACACTGATATACAAATTCATTTCAGGGCTTATGGCTCTCCGCCAAAAAGATTCTGTACTTCCAATCTGCCAAGTTCAAACTAAGGGCTGAGAACCTTGCTTCAGCTGCAGAAGCCATACCTGAATAGGATTACATCCTTTAAGTCGTTGTTGGTAGCTACCATTGAGTCGGCCCTCGACTCGTGGCAACCCCATACACAACAGAACGAAACACCGCCCCTCCTGCATCATCCTGATGATTGGTTGCGGATTGGACCATTGTGATCCATAGGGTTTTCATGGGCTGATTTTCGGAAGTAGGTCGCCAGGCCTTTCTTCCTAGTCCATCTTAGTCTGGAAGCTCCTCTGAAACCTGTTCAGCATCATAGCAACAGACAAATCTCCACTGACAGATGGGTGGTGGCTGTGCAAGAGGTGCACTGGCCAGGAATTGAACCCAGATCTCCTACGTGGAAGGCGAGAATTCTACCACCGAACTCCCACTGTAACTCATCCTTGAAACTAGGGTCCATGGATAGGCTTCAGGGGGATAGGTTTCCCCCAAATCCTTCAATACATAGGTTATATCATAGTCTACTGACTTAAATGGCAATGTACAGCAGGCTAAGATATCAGTCTGAAATTATTTGCTTGGCCTTGTTTCTTATTTGATAGTATTTGTGAGAAATACCATTAACAGACTCAGATTAATCTTTGAAACTCATTTTAAAAAATTCCCAGATCCCAGAGTAGTTACAGACCTCTGACTACCAGGTGAGGATAAGTACCTGCCAGCAGGTATGGGGAGATTTGCGTTCCAAGATGTACTGAGTTAAAGGTGAAGGTTCAAGTTCATATTTGTCAAAGGGAAGTTTGTCTATTACCATTGGCTCACAATCTACGCAGGAGAACCTCACAACAGGATGAGATGTTCGTGGAGGCTAAAAAAGAAGAGGAAAAATATGGTCAGTTATCAAGTGAGCGTCCATTTCTGACAACTCTGCAACCCCTTTTCTGTTTTGTTCATCCATCACTGAGATACAGACTAGTGTTTCCAGAAAGAGGGTTACTAGATCTCTAGGCATCACTAACGTCTTCCATGGAGAAGGGGATGCAGATTCTTCATCTCCACCATGCACTTGGTATCAGGAAGAGGAAAGGTAAATTACAACATTCATAATGAGAACTTAAGTGAAGTTAAAAAAGAAACAACTGCTTTGAATATAGTTTAAAAATTCATTTATGATCCATAGGCTGAACCCTGAATTTCAAATCCACTTTGTAACCTCCAAGCATTGCCTTCCCTCCATCCCTTTATACAAAGAGGTTACAGATAGTCCAGACAATGGTGGAAAAGAAGAAATCCATGTAACTTTCTAATGAGGTAATGACAAAGTTAGAGCCACTATTAAGCGAGATGAAAAATAGTAAAGGCCCAGAAAAGGCAAGATAGAGACTGATAATGAGCCAGTCACAGCTCTAGGACCCAAACGAACTTTTACAGCAGGCTCACACCCATATGCTTGTCTTGCATAGCTGGGGCTGAGGATGCTTTTGGCTGGGCCACAAAGAAAGGCCTGTGCGCCTGGAGTACCAGAGCAGATGAATGGAGAAGCCATTTTATTTTATTAATATTTGTTTTTGGGGAAAATATACAGAGCAAAACATACACCCATTCAACAATTTCTACACGTATAGTTTGGTGGTATTGGTTACATTCTTCACTCTGTGTCAATAATCTTACTATTTCTACTCCAACTGTTTCACCACTATTCACTTAGACTCACTGCCCCCCTAAACTTTTCACCTATGCTTTAGTTACTATTGTCAATTTGGTCTCATATATATAATCTCTTAAAAGAGTGCAATACTCAAAGCATATGTTCTAATTGAGCTAAACTGTTGTTTAGTTTAAAGATGACTTCAGGGGATAGTTTTGGTTGAAGGTTTAAAGAGTATCTCATGGCAATAGATTCAGGGGTTCCTATGGACTCAATGGGTCCAGTTAGTCTGGAATCTTTAAGAATCTGAAGTTCTGTTCAACATTCTTCCCGCTTTTGATCAGGATCCATCTATTGTGTCCCTGATCAAAACGTTCAGTAATGGTAGCCAGGCACCATTCGGTTTTTCTGGTCTCTTGACAGAGGAGGCAGTAGTTCATGGATGCAATAGTCCTGTAGTCCAGTTCCGAGAAGCCATTTTATTAACAGATTTAGCTTGCGGGAAAGGAGAGCACCAGAGAGGGGAAGGGTGACAGCAAAGGCAATGTGGAGAGATAGGGAGATAGGGAGATAGGACAAGCCCCAGGGATGAGGGTGAGAAGTGGTCCGGCCTATTCTTGCTAAGAGATCTTTAAGGCTAATATGACTATGATAAAATGTCTCTGTTTCCTTTATAAAAGTGAAAAGGCACGCTCATTTGCCTTTATAATTTACAAACATACATGATATTTTGGGGCTTGAGAAGTATAGCCCTCAAAAGTGCTTTTAAAGGTGGAGGAATGGTAACATAAGCTATGTGTGTGAGTTACTACTGGGAATTTCGTCTATACTAGTTTTTCCTGATTTCGGTTTGAATTAAGCCGGTGAAATATTTCTGACTTATTAGATTTGAACATATAAAAAAGCAGTAAAGACACAGGTGAAGCCCCACTACTAGCAATAATGAAGTAAACTGGCAACTGAAACATTTACTCAGGGTGTTGAAGGGGCTGAGAGTAACCGGGCATGGAGATTTGGCAGGAGTGACACCTTGGAGGCCAGCAGAAAGGAAGGGCAAGAGTTACCCACACCCACAGCATGGGCTGAAATGGCTCTTCAGTCTTACTTACAGGCTTTCCATGGCCACTCCTCAAAAATGTAGGAGTCCAAAAACAGTAATCCAGGAGAAAATGCAGTTCACTGTCAGGAATGTCTACAATTAGAAGGCATTAACCTGGAGTAGTGATCCATTTGCTTCTCTACCCCATAAAAGAGAGATTACTCAAGCCTCTTTCTATTGGCAGGGAGAAGGAAGAAGATGAAGAGAGAGTGGGTTTCAAATGGTTTCTCTTATTACTAGACACTGCCATCCTGCCAGAAGAAAAGGCAATCCATCTGGTACTAGAAGCAACTATAATATCAAACCCTCTTCTGCAAAATTCAGTGAAGAAAAAGACAAGTCTATGTTTTGTTGTTGCTGTGTGCTGTCGAGTGGATTCCAACTCATGGTGACCCTATATGACAGAGCGGAACTGCCCCATAGGGTTTCCTAGGTGGCAAATCTTTAAGGCAGCAGACTGCCAGGTCTTTTCTCCTGTGGAGCCACTGGTGGGTTCAAACCGCCAACCTTTTGATTAGCAGCCAAGTGCTTAACAATTGTGCCAAAAGGGCTCCTTAAGTCCTTGCTTAAAAAAAAACACCAAACCCATTGCCATCAAGTTGATTCTGACTCATAGCGACCCTATAGGACGGAGTGGAACTGCCCCCAGGGTTTCCAAGGAGCGATCGGCTAGTGGATTCAAACAGCCAACCTTTTGGTTAGTAGCTGTAGTTCTTAACCACTGTACCACTAGGGCTCCTAAGTCCTTGCTTAGGGATCATTTTTTAAGTGTTGCTTAATCACTCATTATTCAAAGGTGCCTTGCTATGGTACAGCGGTCCATTGGTTACAAAAAGATGAAAAGTGGGCCCACAAAGTTCCATTAGGTGTCTAACAAAGGTGACTCCCTAAGAAGAAGTAGAATGACTTGTTTTCAATATGTTCCTAGAACCTATACAAGGTATAAAACCAGGTCCTAATTTCCAGAGGCTGTACATAAAAAAAGAAGCCCTGGTGGTGCAGTGTTTAAAATGCTCAACTGCAAACCAAAAGGTCAGCAGTTCAAATCCCCCGGCCACTCTGAGAGAGAAAAATGTGGCAGTCTGCTTCCGTAAAGATTTACAGCCTTGGAAACCCTATACAGCAATTCTACTCTGTCCTATAGGGTCGCTATGAGTCAGAATCGACTCGACGGCAACAGGTTTGGTTTTTGGGTTTGGGTACATGTAAAACATTGCCAGTACTTTGTAGACACTGTGTTTCCAGGTAAACCAAGTCAGCTGCTCTGTAAAAACCAAGTCACAGATTGCAACAGCATCAACCATAACAATGCTTTAATATCCAAAGAGGCCAGTTCCAGTGGCAAGGGTAACTGAAAGTCAGAATGAAAAGTACCAGAAGAGAAGGAAGTCCTCTCTTGTTATTAGGCGTGAGCTAGACTCCCAGCAAGAGACAGAAGGCAAAGAGGAGGAGACTTACTTGCCTGTGGCAGGACTTAAAAGCCTCGAAGTTATTTTCAAAGGTTCACTGTAATCAGCAAACTGAAAATACAGAATGATGTTTACCTTTTGTTTTATGATACTTACTAGTGACGGTAAATTCTGATCTGGCCAAAAAGATTCTGGAATTGGCCAATGTCCAACAGGAACACCAGTTTTAGAGTTCGGTCGTACATAAATGAGCTTATGACAACTATGCCAGGGTTGAGCAGCAAATGGATTGCTTGGCCTAGATGAATCCGTAAGTCCATCTAAAAGTTAAACAAACGGCAGACTAAGGCATAATTGCTTTTTATAGCTGCTGATCTTCTTGTAAAAAAAATTTCCAGCTAAAAACCAAGTACAAAACAAAACAAAAATGATGATTCATGAAAAATAGAGGAAGAAAAAAAAAGAACAACCCTACTAAGATTTCTGAATGTTGTCTCTAGCAACTTTTTTTCCTTCCCTCCATTCTAATCCAACCCCCAACCTCCCAACCACACCCACACCTTATCCTCAACCTACCAGCAGAATATGCAGTTATGTGAAAAGCTATTTTATTTATATATATATATATATATTTTTTATTGTACTTTAGATGAAGGTTTACAGAACAAATAGTTTCTCATTAAACAATCAGAACACATACTGTTTTATGACATTGGTTAACAACCCCACGACATGTCAACACTCTCCCTTTTCGACCTTGGAGGATCCTTTTTTTCTTTTTTGGTGAAAATATACATAGCCAAAGATACACCATTTCAAAAAATTCTACATGTACAATTCAGTGACATCGATTACATTCTTCCAGTTGTGCTGCTATTCTCACTATCCTTTTCCAAATTATTCCATCACCATTATCTTCAACTCACTAC